AGTGATTCCCCCATGTCTCTCCTCCAACGCAGTGCTATTCTGTGTGCCAGAAAGGCAACCCAGGCATTCTGGTGGAGACGCCAACCCTTGAAGTTCACCAGTTTAGTGGACCAAACTTGGGTGCACATGCGGGCTTGTTCCGCTGGTTGAATATGACCGAACTTGTCATTGTCGAAATCGCAATGCGGCAGCTGAACACAGCGAGGGAGAAGACTAGCTTCGTATTGGGCAAGGGTTGAAAAAAGGGCAACCCTGGATGTGCGGACACTGATCTTGATCGCTGGCAACAGCGTGCCCTCATGCCCCTCTTGGGTGATCTAGCCAGGGAAGGTTCAGAATTCCAGGACCCAGTATGAGCTTGAATCGCACGGCTGGCGGTCCCAACAGTCTCCTGATGTGTACCTCCTTCGCCTATCATCTCGTTGAGAGAGAAGATGATTTCCTCCGCCCCGGGCCTCTTGTCACATTCGTGCTGCCAACAGCTCTCCGCCAATTGCTTGTAACTCTCTGGCGTTGAGCCCGGAAAGCTTGGGCGTCCCCCGCCTGATACAGTGAGGGCAATGGCCCGCCTTCCTATTCCCTCATAGATGGGCTGGGACGTGTATAACTGCCACATGACGATGCCGAATGCGTATATGTCCATTTGGTAACCCACCTGGCCATCTCCGCAACCAAAGAATGCTTTATGATTGTCATGATGCGTCAACATGACCAACGCAGCAGCAACAAAGCAACAGTCAGGCGACGCCAATGGCTTGGGTGGAATTGCCGACGAAGTGCTCCCACGGATTGATAGGACATTTACCGCTGTACATCACTCATAGTGCAAACTGAACGCAGCAGGCTCTGAAGCGCTGATTCTCGTCCGGATTGGTTCTATTCAGTTCTGTGGATTCACGGCCAGTTTGTTGAAAGTACTCACTCCCGTCAATCATCTCGGGAGCCATGTGCGTAATTGTCCCTTCCACACTCCTGCCGTTGTGGCACATGTACATGTTGTCAAGAATTTTCATTGAGCCGAAGTCGGACAGCTTGGCCTTGAAACCCCGGGTATCGGAAGTGCTCGATTTAAGCAGTATGTTTTCGGGTTTGACGTCGCAGTGCACCAGCTTCATGGAGTGCAGGAGCCTCAGAGCGAGGGCGAGCTCCAGCAGTGTCTGGTAGATGGCTGGCATGTTGGGATCCATTGCACCGTAGCCCCCTGCCAACGCCCAGGATCTGAACTTAGGCATCGACCCGGCTATACCGAGCCTGGCGAAGGCCCCACAAATGGCTTATATTCACAGAAATGCATATGTTGTGTATATATGGCAGACGCAGCCGGCGTGGACGGGATTCAGGGTGGGCAGCGAACCCCATTGGCAGGCCAACATCATGGGAGAGATACATTTCAGAAGCATACGGCAAGGCATGAGATAACCGCGATTTGTATGGACGCCAGCGGGTAGGAATTCGGAAAGTTCGAGCCAGCAGAAGGCCAACACCACGCTGCCCTCTCTTTCAAGTGGTGAGAAGCGGAGGCGAATTTGCATTGACACAACGCTGCAGGTGTCGAAAAGGAATTGTGCTTTACATGCAGTTTGCTAGCACACATTAATACTGATTTACACACATTAATATTGATTTTCGCACCACATTCTAGAAAGTTTCTTGCGCAAGGGTGTTAGTCTTGGCAGACGACTGGTTGCTTCCAGAAATGCTGTTGCACAACGCTCTTGCACAAAATTGTCTTGCATTTGCGGCGACAGATGTTACAGGTCAGCAGTTCCGGCTGGGCAGTACCCTGAACCAAATACGTGATGGTGCTGCTATCAGGCTCAAAAGCACGAAGACGAGCGTGCCCAAGCGGCGACATTCTCCGAGCAACAGCGAGCAGATCGGTCGATGATGTGGCACGTGAGCAGCGCCCAGCAGAGGCCAAATCATGCCCACCTTTAATTGCTTTCCTAAAACAATTATTCTCAATAGCATCCAGAAGGCACCCCTTGTCACACAGCTCCATACAAATCAAGCAACACCGGGAGCCCCCTAATCCCTGCGGGTTTTCGATGTTTTCGCCGGGTAAAAGCCGCAGGACCGTCGTGTCTTCATTGCCGGTGGCAATCGTCACTACATCTGTAAAGAAGGTGTGAACCTGCGGAATGACAGAAAATCATCCTTTACATCTACTGACAATTTATAAGCCCCCGTTGCAATTGAAATTGCACACCAGCTGGTGGCTGCATGGCTGGAAACACCTTCTGCAGGTTGAAGCATCCTAGGTCAACATGAACAGCTCTTCATTATCCAGCTAGATACGAATCAGAGGCTTCTCGGGAAGTGCACACAGACGCCCAAGCGATGCGGTACTTACACACAAAACATTGGAAAGAAGACTGCATTCCCATGATGAGTTGGGAAATTGCATGCTCCCCTAGGACTCGCCGTCCGAGACTAGTCACCTGTAGCAAGCTCGGATGGGACACTGTGCTCATGACCGCAACTTCCAGGGCCTGGCGGAAGAGGTTCTTGTCTGCCTTGTCCTCTGTGATCATTTTCACTGCAACCTCCAACCCATTCCATATACCCTGAATGGAACACGGGCACACATACTTGAGTCTTTCAACAACACGCCGCGAATGTCCCACACTGGATGGCCGTTGACAGGGTCTCCGAACGGCAACATCAAATGCCTCTCCAATGAAATATGTATTGCCGATGACGAAGCGGGCATTACACACTCAATGCACGGGGGTGTTGACGAGGTATATAAGTGCGCTAAAAGGAGCCTTTCCAGGGCAGACGGAGGTGGGAAGCCGACGTCTGTTGAAGTCTTAAATGCTGTTGCCGTACATGAATTAGGGGCTTCGGAGCGACGACCGTCAAGATTTCCGCACACACAATCCTCAATTCCATCGAAGCCATCTTTCCGGTTCGATTTAAGGGTATGTATTACAGGCTCCCAAGTTAGGAATTCCTTCCGTCCCCGTCCTGTTCAGTACCTGGTAAACCGTCCCGAAATGCCCCTTTCCAATTTCGCCAACAATCTCGAGCTGCAGCAAATCCTCAGGCCGATCTATAATGGCATCGTAGGCCAGCGTTGAGTTCTCCCGTAAGCGATGCCAAATCCCACGGACCTTGCAAGCAAAGACAGGACGTGGCTAAGTCACCTACATCAATTTGGGTCCGAACGCAGCAAACATTCGCAAGAAGAGCTACGATTAGCCAAGATTAGCACAGCACCATGCCAATTCCTTGGATCACACACCCGATCGATTCAGGCAGAAAATGCTGCTGCCTGCATCGCTCGACAGCCGAGAATAACGATGCAGCGATTGACAAAGAACGCAGTTGCCGCAGCAAATTTGCTCCCGTAATGGACAAATTCAACACAGATGCAACACTGCAAATGCAATCAACCGCAGAAACCGGCAGTCTGGGGGTCTGGTTAGGCTTCCCATAGTTCTCAAGCACACCATACAATTGGATCTCATAGATTGGCAGCCCGTGTTTGTGCCTTTCCAGACCGCAGTTCCTTCCTTGTACATTTGCAGCTCGTTGTGGCTTTGCATACCCCGCGCTTTTTGGGAGCAATGCCCCAATAATATTCCTTGCTCGTTTCTTCAAGAGCCCGAGTTCAGGCTCTACAAAGAGAATGGGTTTCAGACTGGAAGCACAAAAGATGCTCGGAATTGGCCGTGTTGCAACCAACAACGACGTTTTTGAACGCAAGAAGACCTTCGTAGCGTTTAAGTTTTACACAATGCACATTTTCCTTTAAAATCGAAAACAACGAAAAGGGAGGTCAGATGCAACGGAACATATTTAAAAATGAGCCTCGAGTGTCGAAGCTCTGCATGCAAACAAGTACATGTTGTACGCAACGCCACTGATTGGGCTGTCCTGTCCGCGCAGCGCAGAACAAATAGCACCAGCGCATTGTGAGAAATGGATGACTATAACAAGGGTCGTTTTGCGATGAACACTGTGGGCGTCACGAGCAGCTTGAACGAGCAAACGACTAGTCAGGCAGCATTTGTAAACTGACCAAAGCACGGTACACAAAATTCGCGCCATTGCACAATGATGCAATGTTTCTTTAGATTGTCGCTGGTCACCGCCTTGCCGCAAAATAGCGCCTTCTTTTCGTAACTCGCATTTCGCAGGTCGATATTGCGACGCCACTAGTGTCCCGCACTGGTGTTTCCCTGTGTTGCGCACTTTCGCATCTGGTTTCCAAGTGACAGTGATATGAACTCTCTGATCGTGGAGTATGTTCATCATCGCACATGCGCTCAGCTGGAAATGCCATATCACAACCCAGAGTTTTCTCTTCTCTTTTAGCAAGCATCTGTTTGTCAGCACTCGCGGTGCTCAAACTATGGATGTTGGTCGTACCAGTGGCCCGATGTGTGTCGACTTGCTGTTTAGAACTGTGATGGACGTTTGTGAGTCGCGCTTAATGATCGTGTCCCGTTTTTTGCGGTGCGACTCCGGTGGTAGGCTTGGAGACAAACTTAGGTGGGGCGTGGCTGTCGACGAGTCAGTGTGGGACTTGCAATGCCGCATGCCATTTTTTTCGGAATCTTCGTTTTCCCTGTCCCTTCGAAGCGAGGAAGGAGCAAGCACCTGGGTACCACCAACACTGTTTGCAAATTTCTCTTCCGGGTTCCTTCGTATGCCGCACATTGCACTCTTGCGCGCCACAGCATAGGTGCCCGTCAACGCGGTTCATGCGTCCAATCCTTTCCTGAGATTGCTTGCGCGTCAGAACAGGCTTGGGGGTTTTGCTGCGCCCAGTTGCCCTGAAGAACGCTGCCACAAGTCAAGTTCATCGCAAACAACCCCAATTGAGTTTTCCTCAAAGATGGTTTTCTCGATGTGCAGGAAATCAGTCAGATAGTAGATCCCCCTTCTCAGCAAGAACTTCGTGAGGCCTTCTTGGTAGTGCAGGCGATAAGGATATTCAGCACAGGGCATGGATGGCACCCGGCAAATGCGACTCCACGCCTGTCAGTGAGCAGCCAGGCATAGTCCCTCATTACCGTGTCTCGCAGTTGGCACCATTCGTCCACCAGGCGCGTCTGCAGTGTTTCATGCAGGACAGGCACCAGCAGCTGGAGAGCGTTCATGAGCTCTGTCTGTGTGGCCATCATGTGGGCGCTGCACATCAGCGACGCTGAGATCAAGTAAACACCTCCAAGTGGACAGCCCTTGCAAGACATCGGGGCCAGAAGCATGGAGCCTATGTTCTGAGACTTGGAGCTGATGTAAATGTCCTTTCTTGGGTTTGTTGGAACCTCCACATACGCCGTACAATCCTGCAAGATACAATGACAATCACATGCCGTTCAGCACCAGGCAACATATAGCGAGGTGCTGCGGCACAATCTGAGGAAAGCCTCATTGTCATCAGAGGACGCTTGCAACAATTCGCCACAAGGATGTTGCCTGCAATGTTCATGCTCAGGCTGAATTGGTTTCCCAATCTCAATTCCTACAAGGGATGGCATGGTGTCGATCGAGCGGTTGAATAGTGTTAACAGGCCACTATGCTTGCTGAATTCTTCAGGCTGCATAATTGCCGTCTTGCCAGTTGCAGGTTGTTGTCAATTACACAGCTGCATGACTTGCACCCTCTCATCCCACACATCAACGAACAGCCATTGAGTGAGCTGCCTGCAGGGCCTCTTTCTGTACCACACCTCAATGAGCCTGGACGCATTGCTCTCCAGAGCAACCCCAAGCAAGGTACCATCGAGCAGCATTCGATGACCTAAGAAAGTTGATTCCAGTCTGCCCTCCCCAACACATGTGTTGCTGTTTGCATTCCACGCTTGACGGGTCATCGACGCCTGATCCAAGAGCTCTTGCAGTTGCTCCAACTTCTCCCACTCGCCACAGATGCCACTTTCTGACTGTTTCTGCAACCACGACTTTCTATGTTTGTTATAACTTAAGCTGCCTGAACTCTTCCTGTGAAAATTGATGGTCTCCTCCTCGAAAACAATGCCAGCCTTCAAGTCAGGGCGTGACAATGCTAATCTGGAATGCGCACAGGCATAGCTCAGAAGAAATTAACTCGCTGTCGAAATCGGGAACGCTCCAAAATATGACTCTTTTGTTGGATTGTGGCACACATCTGGAGATGCTGAAACCAACAAGCACAATGTTGAACAACAGCAAGTGTGTCCGAAAACCCAGCCCACTGCCCAACTTCTGGACCGCAACTGTCGTGGCAAGTGCCCTTTCAGCACAGCAACCAGCAGGCAGGGTAAGGATCCGTGTTGCCTTACAGACTCTTATCAAGTCCACAAGACAGATATGCAACATTGAGCAAAAGTGGCACCCGCATCAGCATCACAATGGCATGTGCAATATGAACTAGGCAGTCAACGGGCCAGACAGCATTTCTGGTTCAACTGACCTACACGCGAACGTTGTGTGCACTCTGCCTGACAGAAACCTCAAGATTCCTTTGGCAAGCTTCTTCACAAGTCCATTGATAGTTCTGCACGTTGCCATGGCCTCCATGCACTGAACAATCTTTGCAAATTGGTATCTTTCAAAGTACCGATAAGCCCATAAGGCAGCAGCCTCCATTGCACAAGGAATCCTAGCAGCCAAGACAAACAACAGACTGTTGAGAGGAAAAGCCGCGCACATGAACAACCATGTGGGTAACAAAACAAGCATTGACAATTGACAATTGGTAATTGACAGCATGAATCGCTACATGACATAGATGGAGCAAACATGGACACGAATTCCCTCTGAAATGCATTTAAGTGACATTTTTTAAGCTAATTGTGAGCAAGCCAAAGGCTAGCATAATTGCCTATAAACTCAGAGACCCCAATATGGTGAGTACTTCTTGTGCCTACAACTGCCAAACACGAGGCAAGCCCTTATCCAGGGCGATGATGGGTGCACACATCTTTGCATGCTTTTCTAATGAGCCCTTGCTCCCCAAGGCACTGGTCAACATGGCTGCAGCCGGGTAGAGATGCTTTTAAAATGACAGCATGCAAGCAAGCATCGCAACAACCCCATTTATTCCTTGTTCGCCTGAGCCTATTCTGTAAATGGTGCCAACAGTGCCAACCACTCACCAGTCATTCTGAAGTTCACATGTGTATCCGACACAAAGTGTTCCCACCAAATTATTGCCAACTTGAATTGGTACCCCAACAAACTGGTTTAGACCAGTAGTTGTGTACATGAGGGCCCAGTCAGAAGGATACGTCTCTTGTGCAGTGTCCTGGCTTCCCATCTTTGCCACAATCGTTTTCTGTGCACCCCAGATGATGCTCGTTGAATGCTGGGACCACTGTGAAAACCTTGATGGCAACAATTGCGGTATGGCCGCTGATCCTGCACCTTCAGCGTGCAGCATTACAAAAGAATGCGAAGAAGAAGATATGGCAGTCACGCTGGAAGAAACATAGACACCTGCAGTGTGTTAGAAAATCAGCAAGATGGCTGATGCTATGCTTCCATGGCCGCTATGCTGTTGACAATGGGGTGGCCTGAAATATGGAATTTGTGGTGAGGATGATTGTGCTACAGAAATTAAAGTTGTCCACACAAGGGGACACAGAAAGACAGAGTGCTGAGAGTGGGGACAAGGATTCTTTCCCTCGTGCAAGCCTTTTTTGCAGATCGAGTCCTAGAGTCGGCCGGCCGCAGTGGTATACTCAGCAGCATGTTGTTACTGTAACAGCAGCATGCTCAAGCCAACTTTGGGTTTTCCACACGGCTTTCCCAAGGCCACGCGCCTGCCTTGCACTAACCATTGCACTGAAACCCGAGCTACCTGGCAAAGGAGACCTGAAGGTGACTGCGAATGGTTGACACCAGCTGTTTCACAGCATCTTGCGCGCCTCCGCTGAGGTCGCTCAGCTCCGTCATCAGCTTCACAAACTCCGCCTGCGCACCATCCCGCCCTCACCCTCAGTCGCAGTTCCGCGGCCCCGCGTTTTGAGACGACGCGTTTTACCTCACGGCGCGCAGCTCACTGCCTACAAACCGCAGCTCCACCCCTTCTGACCAGCCCGAAGGCCGCATTGGCGTCAGACCCACCTCGGGCTTCGCACTTTCACGATCAGCCGCATTCCGTGGCGGCAAACGCTCTTGTGCCTGCACGACGCGCCGCCGTGGAAAGCATTGCCCGGGGCGGCAGAACAAGCGACACGGCAGCTTGCCCAGGATCCTGGAGGCGCGCCTCTGGCCCATCGGCACCAGCCCCGACGGCCGGTCAGCATCTGACGACCGCTGGTGCGGTGACCCCGGCGACGACTCCCAGACGCATGTTCACGTTCCCGCCGTCATTGAAACCCCGTCGGTAATCAGCATCGCGTCCGGTGAGGGCGTCGGATCGCGCAGTCCCGGGTGGGCCCTGCTCTGTGAGGTCTTTTCATTCGCCGCCGGTGCGCCTGACGTCCAAGGAGCGGACAGTGATCCAGCCCCGGGGCGTCAGGCACTCGTCGCAGCGAGGTTGCGGCGGGCGCTGCCTAGCCCGAGACCGGCGGCGTCAGGCAACCGCGGCAGAGTCTGGAGCTCGTCGCGGCTGTCGCCTTGCCGAAGCCAGAGACAGAGCCTGCGGGTGGCCGGGGTGATGCTGTGTAGATTTGCAGCTGCGCATGTCCCTATGCGAGGGAAAAAGCGGTGCGAGGCGTATTCCGTTTTTGTTGTCTCCGTGTTGGATGGCAAGTGAGGCGCACCGTTCTCTTCTTTTTGCCTTTCAACAAGGCCGTCGGCTATCAGATTCTGCACATGCTCTTATTCGGATCAATAATTGTAGCGGCCGTGTTCGCTGCCATTCGGTCTCAATACGGTGGCGCCGTATCATGCCAGCGTGCCTGCGCAGAGCGCGGCGTTTCAGCAACGACATTGCCATTCTAATGCATCAACATCTCCACAATCGGTGCTGCTCGCTATGGCGCACCCTGTTGTTGACATCGGTGCACCCAGCTGCAGCGCTGCGCAGAAAGCCTGGACGCACGTCAACGCAGAACCGATAAGCCCATTGCAAAAGGGAATGGACCCCCAAATCTTAGGCCAGCAGCAACCCATCCTGGCGGTACCCTGTTCTACACCGTGTTTCCAAGAGACCCTACAACCCAACCTGAACGATGAGCCAAAACGATCGCTGGCAACAGTACTTCACTTCCGCTGCTCGTTCTCATTTGAGTCACGCCGTCTTTCCACCAGTCACCAAGGCGACCGCACCAATACCACCAAAGCACATTGTTTGCTTGCACCGCCCGATCAAGAAACCTCGGTCCAACCCCCCATGCACACATTGCTGCGTGGCGCCTTGTCGTGTAGATGGCACACTATCTCCACTTATTCAAGTGCCCTCAAGCCGTTCACCCTCCAAGCACGTCACCGCAATCCCACACCAAACAACTGTCCGAACATTTCATTTTCCAAACGTACCTGCTTGGCAACCCCACGGGGTACATGCCACAAGAAATATCTACCAATAGTGCACAACGGAACCTCATTTCGACTTCCCCTTGCATATCGACAAACAGCCTGTGAAAATATTGACCATGTCCAGATAGAGGGCACATGCACCAGCGATGTACTCGTCGGGGTCCAGACACTTGTCCGTGTCCGCCAACAAGGACTGCACGTCGTAAACTACATACATGGCAAATACCATGCTCCCTGTTGCCGCTATCACGATCCCGAGCACGGCATTCAGCCACAGCGCACCAATAACAGCTGCACTGAAGGTCACGATGAAGGAGGACATGAGCAGGGGGACCCAGTTGGTGACATCCACCCGTGTCATGGAGGCGATGGCTGCCAGGAAGAGGACCAGAGAAAATGCCAGGATGACCATCAGAAACAAGGGTGCGCTTTCAAACCGGCCCACCACAGTGCTGATGCTGGACGCCATCGCAGCAGTGAGGATCAGCAAGAACAGCAGGTTGTTGGGGTATCTGCGAATCCTGTTGAATGCATACCTCCCCAACACAAGGAGGCACACTGCTGTCATCCAGGAGAGCCATATGACCCACGCGTTCCTGATCAAGAAATCCTGGGGTGCAAAAAGACACAGCGCAAACTCAATGGATGGGAGAAACAAATTGAAGGTTGGGCAATCCCTCCAAACTTGTTGCTTCCAGAGAGCAGGCCAGTGGGACCACAGATTGGCACATGCGCCTGAGCGTTATACACAGTTGCCTTGCAAACGCGATGGGAATGTGAGACATACTCCAAAACATTCCAGATAGCAATCACCACATGTATCAACAACGGCATTCTGTGTAGGCCATTTGCTTGCCAATGGTTGAAGAGCGCAAACCCTCTGCACGACCAATTGAATACACACACTGGTCTGCTCTATATATCCATGGGCATTTGGTCATGCACCACAGGCGCCTCTCCAAACTGGAGGCTGGGCATCTGTCAAACTGGTGCTTTGAATCGTAGCCACTTGTGTCCACACCTGAGCAGATGCGCGAAAGAGCAATGCTGTGGAGAGTGCGCTTGTGACTCCTATCTGCAGTACAACAATCCAAAGGACCCTCCGGAGGAAGCCAATCCTTGCACTCTTGTCAGCAAATCCGCTTAAATACTTGGTGGATGGTGCCTTGGGACCTTTTTGGCATGAGTGCCCTGCCTTTCCAGGGTGATGCAAGGTATCCAATGGAAGGCGAGGGATCACTACCTGCAAGCAGACAGGAGGCACACAGAAATTATCAGAAAACCTGGAGAAAACAGCATCGGTATGTTCAGCCAAAATCACACAGAAACACACCCTTTGACTGCCTTGAGTTGAGACTTGAGATGGGGCTGATAGCTCAGTGTCCACAGTCTTTGAAACGCCCTTAGGCCAGGCCAGCATTCAGAGGTGTGGCTGACAGCAGGGTCCTAAACCACCACAAAACATTACACAGCACTTGGCAACACGCAACACCAGCTAGCCTTAGGTCCATGCTAGGAAAGGCGAACCTTGTGCTAGGTTTTGTTCTTTCATTTTGGGAATATATCCAACACTTCACAGCTGAAAACAACAACAGTAGTGTAGCTGAGTTCCCATGGGCTCCACTGTGCATTGAAGAAGTGCTACAGAAGACAAGTAGTTGTGCCTACCTGCGCTGGTGCTGGACGGCCTGTTTCGATGTCTCCTTTGCCATACTGTGCAACGCTGTAGTCTGGTCCAACGCACTTTGGCGGCGCTGGGTACACTGAGGGGGGTGGCGGGTTTGCTGGTAGGAAGCCTTGTGGAGCTATTGGAGGAAAAGCCACTTGTCCAAAAGCCACACCTGTGGACACCACGTGAGCAGAAACTGTGTTGCGGCCCAGGACACTAGAGTAACAACAGCATGTCATTGGCATCCTTCGCTGCTGCCCAAACGCCATCCAGAGCAAAAGGAAAGCTGTGGCGTGGATTGCGCCACGTGCAGGCCTGCCTTTCGCGTATTTCGCCGCCAGACCATCAACTTGTGCCCTGTACTCTTAAATAACACCAGATAACGGGTCCCAAATAGACGGAAGCTGTCCGTTCACACACCTTGCTGCAAATCAGCTCTTGGAGAAGGATACCTAAGGGGCACCCCTGTCGCCGGCAACTCATTCACGGAGGACACGTCCGACGCGTTGCTCAAGGCGTCGGAATATTCCTCGCTCATCGTTGGCCGATGCGACGCCATTCTTGCTGCCTTCTCTCAGACTGCGGCTCGGTGGAGCCTTTCTTATCGCACCAGCGGCCCGGGCTTCAGATTCCTCTATTCTGACTCGATCAACAACCCGTATACCTGTAGGCGAGGAATCCATAAGGGATTTAATACCGGCACAAGCATCAGCACAAAGCCACGATGCCCTGCAGCAAGTTCCCGGTGCGCAACGCCCACCCGCGCCAGTTGGGCGTCCCGTCACACCGCACCAGGGTGAGGCTGGGTCGACCACAGCTGCGGTCAGTCGCTCCCATGCCCATGAAACAGCGTTACAGTGGCGAATGCAGGCCAGAGAGCAGGGGATGAAGCATTCACAAATGCTGCCCGGTGCACCACTTCTGACCAAGAGGCGTCCGCGACACAATCCCGTCATATGGAAATCTAACACCAGTCCGTCCGCATGCTCCCCGCAACATGCTCTGCCACAGAAGCAGGCCGCGGTGCGAGTGCCTTCCCGCGAGCTCCCCACTTCGTTTTCCTCCCAATTGTGTCCTTGCCTGTGGGCCGCACCCCCCCGCTGATGGTTCCCCCGTTGACCGCTGCGCCCAAGTCTGACAGCCAAGGGACGAGACGGCATCGCCCATTTACACGGGTGCCGCTAAGCTTCGGTCAACGACAATCACATCCAGCAGCGCCTCATTCCTACAGTGCCCGCCCCGGGGCCAGCAACCAGTCGCTAGGGGCGCACAGCCCGAGTTGGGTGAACGATCTGTACTGCACGGGGCCAAGGAATGTCAGTTGGTGCCTCCGAACACACGCATTCGCGGCCGCGACCGAGTCCACTCCCTCCCAGCGCATCTCGACGGGAACGCCCGGAGCCAAACCGCGCGGCAGTTGCTTTTCCGGCGGCCCGAGTGAACGTACCATGCTCCCCTGACCTAACCTCGACCGTTGGCCAGTCTGTGCCGGCCCGTTCCCAACTCTATCCTCCTCCACCCCTTTCTGTTCGGTTCCGAAGGGCCTTCCTTTTGCCCTTTTTCCTTTCCTCCGGGGCCCGACCCACTCGTCGGGAACCTCGGGGGTTTCGGGGGGCGGAGACCACCGCCGGTCCAAGTTGCCCCGACAACCCCGCGGAACATCGGATGTGGCATACGAGGTAGATCCAAATAGGCCATCTTCCAACAGCCTCCATGACAGGCAACAGCCTCCCGGGGCTGGTCAAGAGCCACTCGACGGACTGCACGGCAGCCAGGAACAGTACTTTGGAGGCGTCAGAGCATGATGGATCCACCAGAGGGCCAGCATGCGAGTACTAACACGTGTCAACGATCTCAGGACCAAAGGATCGAGTCCACCTGGCTGCGGCCAGGTGCGAGAACCGCGCGTTGCGCCAGTGACTGTCCGAAGGAGCGCAAAGCACTGCGAACAGCAGTGGGCAGCACCACGGCCCGGGCTGCCACATGATAGCTGCCACACGAATGATGGCTGTGCGCATGCCAGACTGCGATGCCCTTTCCGCAGCCCTCCACACAATCTAATCAATCGGATACTTGTGACCGACAATGCTGGCGTTCGAGTTGCCAGAGCCAGCACAGAACGGCCAGACAGCACTTATGCAGGCCACTACTGCATTTGGTACTGTTGCGATATGCATGTATGGCACAGCGCCATCTTGAATAATTGTGCTTAAAAAGCATGGAATTCAGAGCGCCTCCGCCCATCTCCTGCTTGAGTTCTTTAGCAAACTGTTCGAGTGCCATGATGTTACAAACAGCTGACAAACACCGCCAGGAGGGTGTCTACGCTTGGGAACAGCAATATGGCTCACCGTCCAGCCATATACGCTCAACGAAAGTCACTAATGACACAGCCACTATTACAGCCCTGTCAATCGCCCAGCATTTCTGAGCGTTCCGCTCCTGCACTTTTACCAACTTAGCTCATAAACACTCACAGGACAACGAGAATCACCACAGCAAGTCAATTCAAGCCCAGCAGGACAATTGGGGTATTGTCGAGCGCTGCCGAAGCGAGGCGCAACCCCAGAGCTGAACTTCGTGTTCAAGTTCACCTTAACCGTTCACACACAACGAGAAACATACAACTGCTGATCAGCTCGACGAGAGGCATGCAAATACACGCTCAAACTGCGAAACGACGCTCCACACCTCGCTCAGTAGCTCAGTATATCGAGCATACTGACCATTCTCCAGATGTCGCAAACCGATGTCGTCGATGCTCGTTCCCTGCGGTCCAGCACTGCGCTCCACTCACTCGCCAAGCAGCGGACGATGAAGACGGGTCGTTGAGTCGATGAAGTCAGCTCCCAACGTGAGCGCACGCGGGTCAGCCAGTCAACGAGGCAGGAAACGAGCTCGGCGACGAGCTGTGGGTATGTGCAGCGGTGCACAACCCAAAGACAATCGATCCGGAGGGTCAAGAGACAAAGACACACGGAAACGAAGGTGTTCGTTACAAGGCTGCTCCCCTTCAACCACGTTCGACCTCAACAACTCACAGCACGAAAGTTCGCAATCGAACACCCGCCGTTCAGACCGCTGGAATCGAGAACGGACGGGTTGGGGTTGGAGAGAGAGGGGGGAGGGGGGGGCACTCACAACCCAAACAGCCCCTCCTAAATACCCCCGCCAGCTCCAACAGCACTACAACTTCAACAACCCTTGGATAGTCCAACAGACACTTTGAGAAAAAGGCCCCAATACCCCTTGCACAAACAGTCCACCTCCTTAGAACTTCCCACTGACTTCACACACAATTTCCCACCATTGTACCATAACTAGTATTGCCTTTCTAGTTTGTATTTTCCTTGGCCGTCAACTTACCCTATGGTCCCTATGCATTCCTAGGGACCAGCCTGGCCCTTTTCGCATGGTACCAGTCTGAGTCATACTCAAAAAGGTGGCCGTCATCATCCTTGGCTGCCCGCCATGCAAACACTTCAGCTTCGTCCCACTCTCCCATCCCCGCGATTCCTGGCGACCACCGCGGAACGAACGCGGAAGGCCTGGCGTTCGTTTTCCATGGCCGCCACCCATCGTAGAGTGAACGCGAGCGTTCCCTCTCCCTCGCCCGCCATTCGCCAAACCGCGGTCGAGTCCACGGCCCCAAAGATCCACCGGTTGGGGAGGCCGGAGCCGCGGATGGCACCCCATGCCAAAGCGCCATCGGTCCCCGCCTCGCAGCCCTGCTTGACGAGAAAGGCTGCCTCACTCGAGACGAGGGGCGCGCCCAGCTCGCGCGTTCCTTGGGCGGCCGGGTCAGGATGCACCTTGCCTTGTCGCGGGATGGGCACCATCCACCGAGTGGGGATGCAGCTGGGCCCCGCCATCGCTTCCTCGCCCAACCCCTCGTCCGCGTCGCGACACACCGGCACCCAATCCGGCAGCCTGCTCTACTTGATCCGTGCCATCTGCCCAACTTTCAGCGCTTTCCGCGGCGAAACGGCAGCGTCGCTCCGTTCGGACCAGCGGCAGGTCGTGGGGCGTGGAGGCTTTGGGGGCGCAGGATGCGGGGATGTGCCAAACGTGTACGACGCAGTACAATACAAAAATTACCAAAGGGCAGTTTCCCATACAGCCGCTAAACAACAATGCATTGTCAGCACCCGTATACAACGTCCCATCATGCTCCATTGGACCTAACACCCTTCCAGTACTTGTCCTGTCAAAGTCCTAGGACTTTTTGAAAAGTTCAGGTCTATTGAAGGACAACCCCTACGGTCCATGGCCTTCTCAAAACGGGTCAGAAATTGGCCGTTTTTCCTTCCGAAAGTCACTCAAGAGGTTCTTACAAAACGACCAGCCTCTCATTCAGGGTCCCTCACCATACGCCCTGCACACACCGTGCCTCTTTGTCCCCGGCTAATAGTACTGGAAAATCTACTATAATCGCATACTAAGCCCAATTCTGTACATCCCAAATCCATCACTGAAAATTGTATTGTATCCCGTCAGCCCGTGGGCCTATCCAGCTCGTTTTGGCCCCTTTCTTTGGCCAGTTCACAGCCCAGTCATAGCCGTCCGTGCTGTCCGTACAGTGCCCATAAATTGACTTCATTGGTGATCATTCTGGACGGTTCTGCTGAGTGACAATGCAAAACAGCGAGATGAAGGATGTCTCAACTGTAAATGCATCGATTCATGTGCACTGGAGAGAAGCTCAGCGTGCACACGTTTGCCTTGAGCATTCAGCAGCTGCAGGACCGCCAAATGTAACCGTATGTCATGCGGTTCAAAGTAACTTCTGCGGAGCACATTGGCCTTTCCTTTCTCTACGGTTTTCTCTCGATTACAGTGATGGCCATTTACTTGAGCAGATTGGACTGTAATCGAACATGGGCACACCAGCTTACCCTGCGCAAACTCCGAATACTTCACTCCCTTCACGCTCACTACAAAAATTGACGTCCAGTCCACTGATAGGTCACATCAAAAGCTTGTAACTGATCTCCATGGAAGACGAGTTTTGGTTAACGACCAGATTCCACTGTGAGGGCATCACCATCACCGAGTTTTCAAACCTTCCAATATGAACCTTGTGTTTGGTATCCCCCTCCTGCTGTACAATTGAAACACTCGCTTGCACAGAGCTGACCGCTACACCATGATCCTCCCAGCTCCCTTCATGCTTCACGGGTTCCATCCAACCAGACTTACAAAGCTTTGGGAATGCGGCCGAACAGATCCTCCATGGCTGTTTGCCTCCAAAATGATGCAACTTAGTTTCGAAATCAAAGTGACCATTTGACAACCTCACAGCTGAAATCACACGCACTTGCCTTTGTCCATAGACACGCTTCAAGGCTGACGGTCGCGATCCACCAGCTCCAACGCTTGAATCCATCCATTGTATCTTGCCTGGCCATCGAAACTTTTTTATCCTCTTCTATCCATAAACCCATATTTCATCTTTGCCATTCCTCCAAGCATCTTTGCTTTCTCTTTTTTCCAATCTATAGAGTACTCCAACTCCTTACCGACAACTCCTTGAGCACATAATTGCTCTGTAAAACTCCA